GTGTCCTCCTTGTCCTCCCTGCCCCTGCACACACACACATGCATGCACACACAGTCATGGGCACTTGGCAGCAGAGTCACACAGCAGTAAGGCGTGTATGTGGGCTGGGTGCATGGCTCATACCTGTAATCCCAGCACTGTGGGAGGCCGAGGCAGGGGGATCACCTGAGGCCAGGAGTTTAAGACCAGACTGGCCAACATGGTGAAACCCCATCTCTACTAAAAATACAAAAAAATAAGTCTGGTGTGGTCGCGCCCTCCTGTAATCCCAGCTACTCAAGAGACTGAGGCAGAAGGATTGCTTGAGCCCTGGAGGAAGGAGGTTGCAGTGAGCCGAAATCGAGCCACTGCACTCCAGCCTGGGCAACAGAGAGAGACTGTTGTCTTAGAAAAAAAAAAAAAAAGGAGTAGATATGGAGCTCCAGCCCGGGGCTCCAGTTTCTCCTAAGACCCTTCGATGCCTGGATCTACAGATGAGGAAACTGAGGCAAAAGGATGTTGATAACCTGCCTCAGCTCACTCGGCTGGTGGTGGCAGATGGATTTCATCCAGCCTGTTTTCCCATCTGTCAGGATCAGGGTGAGGATGGCCTCCCCGGATAGCCTCAGACCCTCACCTTGCCCCATACCCTCCAGGGGACAACCTGCAGACAGCGGTTACTGTGGCCCGGGGCTGTGGCATGGTGGCCCCCCAGGAGCATCTGATCATCGTCCACGCCACCCACCCTGAGCGGGGTCAGCCTGCCTCTCTCGAGTTCCTGCCGATGGAGTCCCCCACAGTCGTGAATGGCATTAAGGTGAGGCTAACCCAGAGTTCCAGCTGTGCCGCACCCAGTGACCCCACCCCTGTGTCACCTGACCCAGGCCCCAACTCTCCAGGGTGGGCAGGGGGAGCTAAGCTGAGCTTCCTGGGCCCCTAGGATCCTGACCAGGCTGCAAGCTACACCGTGGAGCCAGACCCCCGATCCAGGCACCTGGCCCTCAGCGGGCCCACCTTTGGTATCATTATGAAGCACTTCCCCAAGCTGCTGCCCAAGGTAGGGCCGCCCCCAGCTCCCTGGCCGCCCCGCGCCTCCCCCACTCTGTCTCCCTCCTCATGGCTCGCTCTCCCTGGCAGGTGCCTCAGCCCTCCCCCATCTCCCTGTGCTCCCAGGTCCTGGTCCAGGGCACTGTCTTCGCCCGCATGGCCCCTGAGCAGAAGACAGAGCTGGTGTGCGAGCTACAGAAGCTTCAGTGAGTGCTCGGCAGAGGGTGTGGGCAAGGGCCTGCAGGGACTGAGCTTGTCCGTTCATCTGTTCATCTGTCCTTCCCTAGGGCCCTGTCTCCCTCCTCAGGCACCAGAGAGCTGTCACCCCTCCCCACCAAAAGCAGGCAGGCTCTCCCAGGTCTTTCATGCTAAAAATAATCATTGTAGCCTGGGTGCGGTGGCTTATTCCTGTAATCTCTGGTGGCTCTTTGGGTGGCTGAGGTGAGAGGATTGCTTGAGCCCAGGAGTTTGAGACCAGCCTGGGCAACAAAGTGAGACCCCATCTCTACAAAAAATTTAAAGATTAGGCCGGGCGCGGTGACTCATGCCTGTAATTCCAGCACTTTGGGAGGCAGAGGTGGGCGAATCATGAGGTCAAGAGATCAAGACCATTCTGGCCAACATGGTGAAACCCCGTCTCTACTAAAAGTACAAAAAAAATTAGCTCGGCATGATGGCGCTCGCCTGTAGTCCTAGCTGCTTGGGAGGCTGAGGCAGTTGAATTGCTTGAACCTGGGAGGTGGAGGTTTCAGTGAGCCGAGATCGTGTCACTGCACTCCAGCCTGGCGACAGAGCGAGACTCCATCTCAAAAAAAAAAAAATTTTTTTTTTAAATTAGCCGGGTGTGGTGACACACCTGCCGTCCCAGCTACTCAGGAGGCTGAGGCAGGAGGACTGCTTGAGCCTGGGAGGCCACAGCTGCAGTGAGCCGAGATCACACCACTGCACGTCAGCCTGGGCAACACAGCAAGACTCTGTCTCAAAAAATAGTAATAGGCCGGGCGCGGTGGCTCATGCCTGTAATCCCAGCACTTTGGGAGGCTGAGGCAGGTGGATCACCTGAGGTCAGGAGTTCAAGACCAGCCTGGCCAACATAGTGAAACCCCATCTCTACTAAAAATACAAAAATTAGTTGGGCGTGGTGGTGCACACCTGTAATCCCAGCTACTCAAGAGGCTGAGACAGGAGAATCACTTGAACCTGGGAGGCAGAAGTTGTAGTAAGCAGAGATCACACCACTGCACTCTAGCTTGGGCAACAGAGAGAGACTCTGTCTCAAAAAATAATAGGCTGGGCACAATGGCTCATGCCTGTAATTCCAGCACTTTGGGAGGCCAAGGCAGGTGGATCACCCAAGGTCAGGAGTTTGAGACCAGCCTGGCTAACATGGTGAAACTCCATCTCTACTAAAAACACAAAAAATTAGCCAGGCGTGGGGGCGGGTGTCTGTAATCCCAGCTACTCGGGAGGCTGAGGCAGGAGAATCGCTTGGGCCTGGGAGGCAGAGGTTGCAGTGAGCCGAGATGGCGCCATTGCACTCCAGCCTGGGCAACGAGTGAAATTCTGTCTCAAAAACATAATAATAATGATTATAATAATAATTGCATCTATTCACTGAGCACCTCCTGTGCACCAGGCACCATGTGGCATTAGGGGCCCAGCTGTCATCATATTCTGCTAGCCCATGCCTGGGGTGGGTAGGGTCGTTCCCCGGGCCACACCGGGCCACACCTCTCTTCAGGTACTGCGTGGGCATGTGCGGAGACGGCGCCAATGACTGTGGGGCCCTGAAGGCGGCCGATGTCGGCATCTCGCTGTCCCAGGCAGAAGCGTCAGTGGTCTCGCCTTTCACCTCGAGCATGGCCAGTATTGAGTGCGTGCCCATGGTCATCAGGTAAGACAGGCAGGGACCGGTGGGCGAGGGCTCGGCAGGGCTGGGCAGTCAACCTAGACCCCCTAATGTCCATGCCCTGCCACTCAGGGAGGGGCGCTGTTCCCTTGACACTTCGTTCAGCGTCTTCAAGTACATGGCCCTGTACAGCCTGACCCAGTTCATCTCTGTCCTGATCCTCTACACGGTGAGTACCTGCAGAGCTCCATACCCAGAGCTGTCCCAAGACTAGGGAGGGGACACAGCCGTGTGCCTTGGAGCCGGCAGGTCCTGGGATAGATGATGTGGGCCCAGATCCTGACCCTGCCACTCTCCAGCTGTGTGGTTGGAGAGGTGGCGAGGCTCGGGGGAGAAGAGAAAAACACCAGGCACGGAGCCTGGTGCCCACTAGGTCCTCACAAATGGCAGCAGCTGTCATGGGCTAACATCTTGACTGCAACTCTGGGAGCTCCCCCATCTGCAGGGAAGACTGAATGGAGGCAGGGCCAAAACCCTTGCCCCTGCCCCATTCCCACAGGTCTGCCCATTTCTCCAGACGCACTTGTTCTGTCCTATACCTTGGCTGTACCTCCCACACCCTACTTGGAGGAGATCTCCCCTCCCCTCCTCTGGGCATGGCCTGCTCAGCCCCAGCGAATGAGGTGACACTGTAGGGCAGCGCACATCTTACACTCGGGTCTGCCCCCGTGTCTGCCTGAAAGCGAGGAGCTTCCTGAGGGCGGCAACTGCGCATGCTCTGGTAGCTATAGGGACTCCGCAAGGCAGAGCCGAAGCCTCCCCATGGGGCCGGGAGTTTGTTACAGGGAGGGAAACCTCCCCTCAGATTTAGGTCCTGAAGGTCAGCACAGGTGCCCTTTCCATCAGACCAGAGGTTTGTCTCACATCAAGAGCTATGCCTCCGGCCAGGCGCGGTGGCTCAAGCCTGTAATCCCAGCACTTTGGGAGGCCGAGACGGGCGGATCACGAGGTCAGGAGATCGAGACCATCCTGGCTAACACAGTGAAACCCCGTCTCTACTAAAAAATACAAAAAACTAGCCGGGCGAGGTGGCAGGCACCTGTAGTCCCAGCTACTCGGGAGGCTGAGGCAGGAGAATGGCGTAAACCCGGGAGGTGGAGCTTGCAGTGAGCTGAGATCCGGCCACTGCACTCCAGCCTGGGCGACAGAGTGAGACTCCGTCTCAAAAAAAAAAAAAAAAAAAGAGCTATGCCTCCTCCACTGGGCTGGCAGGAGAGTGGTGCTGCCCCCATTAGACCGGGGGATGCCTTACCCATCAGACAGGGCAGGGGTGGGGCCTCTGCTATCAGACTAGGGGATGCCAGGGCCAGGTCTTACTTTCCCCTCTATCCTCCCTTCCCTGTGGCAGATCAACACCAACCTGGGTGACCTGCAGTTCCTGGCCATTGACCTGGTCATCACTACCACAGTGGCAGTGCTCATGAGCCGCACGGGGCCAGCGCTGGCCCTGGGGCGGGTGCGGCCGCCGGGGGCGCTGCTCAGCGTGCCCGTGCTCAGCAGCCTGCTGCTGCAGGTGGCCCTGGTGACCGGCGTGCAGCTAGGGGGCTACTTCCTGACCCTGGCCCAGCCGTGGTGAGTGGGGAGCTGACCACCCCCATCCCGCCCCTGCCCCGTCCACCCCACATTCGTTCCCTGACCCCCATCCCTGTACCCTCAGGTTCGTGCCTCTGAACAGGACAGTGCCCGCACCAGACAACCTGCCCAACTATGAGAACACCGTGGTCTTCTCTCTGTCCAGCTTCCAGTACCTCATCCTGGCTGCAGCCGTGTCCAAGGGGGCGCCCTTCCGCCGGCCCCTCTACACCAATGGTGCCACTGCAGGCGTGGGCGGGAGATGCTGGCGGAGGGAGGGAGGAAGGAGCCCTGGGGTGCTGGGGGAGGCAGATGGGAGAGATGCCGGCTGAGTGGAGACTGGTGTGCACACGTGTGTCTGTGGGTCCCGGGGGCGTGGCTCCTGCCTGAGAGACTCTCCTGCTTCCAGTGCCCTTCCTGGTGGCCCTGGCACTCCTGAGCTCCATCCTGGTGGGCCTTGTCCTGGTCCCCAGCCTCCTGCAGGGGCCGCTGGCGCTGAGGAACATCACCGACACCTGCTTCAAGCTGCTGCTGCTGGGTCTGGTCACCTTCAACTTCGTGGGGGCCTTCATGCTGGAGGTGGGGCCCGTCCTGGGTCTCAGCAGCAGGAGAGAAGGGAGGTAGGGGTGGATTGATCCCAGCTCAGCCCCGGCTGCCCCTGACACCCTCCCTGCCCTTTGCAGAGCGTGCTAGACCAGTGCCTCCCCGCCTGCTTGCGCCGTCTCCGGCCCAAGCGGACTTCCAAGAAGCGTTTCAAGCAGCTGGAACGAGAGCTGGCCGAGCAGCCCTGGCCGCTGCTGCCCGCCGGCCCCCTGAGGTAGTGCAGGCCTACAGGCACCCCAGACACTGGAACTCCCTGCCTCTGAGCCACCAACTGGACCCCTCTCCAGCGACACCACCGCCACCACCTCCCACATCCCCGAGGTTGGCGATTGTCTACACTCCTCCCCCGAGGCCACCCCCACCGTGGGGAAGCGTTGACTGCTGTCCCCCACCTCGGACCATCCCGAGTAGGAATGGCAGCCTCCAACTCCCCTCAGCGCTGCTGTCAGTGTAGCAAATAAAGTGACGATATTTTCCTGGCTCTGCCGTGCCTGTCTCGTACCTGGCACCATAGACCCTCCCACCTGCCCAGGAGGAAATGCACGTACCCCCGGGTGCCCAGCTGGCAGCCCCTGCATGTGTCTGCCCCTGGAACCCCCTGGGGGGTTGGTTTTTCAGCCTGACAAGCCCCTGGAACCCCCTGGTTTTTCAGGCTCCATTGGCCAACTCCCCTCTCTGGGCCTCTGGCACTCATCTCACAGTAACAATGTTTCCTGTGTCCAGCATGTGCCTGGATATTCCGTTTAGCTTTTTTTTTTTCTGGTCTTGAGATGGAGTCTTGCTGTGTCACCCAGGCTGGAGTACAGTGGCGTGATCTCTGCTCACTGCAACCTCCGCCTCCTAGGTTCAAGCGATTCTCCTGCCTCAGCCTCCCAAGTAGCTGGGATTACAGGCGTGTGCCACCACGCTCGGCTAAATTTTGTATTTTTAGTAGAGACGGTTTCCTCGTGTTGACCAGGCTGGTCTCAAACTCCTGACCTCAGGTGATCTGCCCATCTTGGCCTCCCAAAGTGCTGGGATTACAGGCATGAGCCACTGCGCTTGGCCCCATTTAGCATTTTACACACGTTGTCATGTCATCCTTCCAACAAGTCGGGTACTATTCCCATTTTACAGATGAGGAAACCAGGGCTTAGAGTTTGCACAAGTAGTCAGAGTGGGGCTGGATAGCTTTGACTCCAGCTTCGATGTTCCTAACCCTCCTACCCTCCTTTGGAGGACAAGGAGATGTGGGCTTGCCTGGAAGGCATTTGCTAGGGGACAGTTCCCTCTCTCCCACCTTTCCCCCTCCCCGTCCCACCCCAACATCCTGGGACATGTTTGTGGGCAGTTCCTCCCTCAGATGAAATCCAGGCTCAGAGCCCACATCTCCCAGCCAGAACCACGTGCATCATCCCTCAGGGAAGGGTGGGTGCCTCTGAGCTCATCTCACCAGCGGGCCCCTGGCCAAGCCCCTCTGCTCTAGAGAGGCAGCTTGGCTGTCTGGCTCATCTGGGCAGGGGAGAACAGGAAAGACTGGCTGTTTCCTGCCTTCCAAAAGCCCTGGCCAACCTCATTCCTGGAACCCCTGGTGCTATCGCCAGGCCTGCCAGAGTAGGGGCTGAGAAAACGTTGAATCATGCTGGGGAGAAGGGATGTGGGTGTGAGGATGTAACTCCTACCAGGAGGCACATCATGGTGGACCTCTGCTCCGGGCACTGTGTTGCCAGCCAGCGACGGTTCAGGGTGGCAGATGCTGTTTCAGAGGAAGCCACAGAGAGGCCTGGGTTCAAATACCTCCTCTACCCTTAGCTGATTATTCATGAATCTATTGGACAGGTGTGTGCCAGGCACCAGGACTAACTCAACAAACTGAATAAAACGGGACAAAAACATGGTCTCACCCTGCAAGCAGTTCACCATCCAGCATGAAAGCCTGGCAGGGAAGGAGCACATCTCCAAGGACATAGTGGGAGCACAGCAATCACAGCCCCATCCCCTCCCCTGCCCAAAGAAACAGCCAGGGGAATGGGTAGAAGCAGCAGAGAGGACCTGGGAGCCAGGACACGAGTTGGCAGCTTTAGCCCCTCAGTCTCCCAGTTTTTCTTTTTTTTTTTTTAGACAAAGTCTTGCTCTGTTGCCCAGGCTGGAGTGCAGTGGTACAGTCATGGCTCACTGCAGCCTCCACCTCCGCAGGCTCAGGTGATCCTCCTACCTCAACCTCCTGAGTAGCAGGGACTATAGGCAGGCGCCACCACACCCAGCTAATTTTTGTATTTTTTGTAGAGATGGGGTTTTGCCATGCTGTCCAGGCTGGTCTCAAACCCCTGGGCTCAAGCGGTCCGCCCTCCTCGGTCTCCTAAACTGCTGAGGTTACAGGTGTGCGTCACCGCGCCCAGCCTCCCTCTTTTTTTCGAGGGTAAGGGACAGCATTTCTACTGGGCGATTTCCTCTCTTTTGCCAGTGGGATTGCTCCTGGCAGCAGTGGGGTCTAAGGGCAGGCAGAGAGGGCTGGGCTGGCCTGAGGGCCCACCTCTCTCCAGGTGACAAAAGTCTCTGTGGCACTGCAATAGACACTGGGGGACGGGGCATGGTCATTCTTCAACAAAGCAATCCTGGGGAATGAAGGAGGCACAGGACATATTGAGTCCCTTCCTAAGACTCAGAGTCTAAGGGAAGTGGGGGAATGACTAGGGGTGAAGAGATCACACGGCAAGGGTCTCAGTCAGGGACCATCCTCATCTCCTCCCAGCCCGCAGCCCCTACAACTCTCACTCCCGCCTCAGGCCTAGGCTCCTGGGCAGGACTGAAGGCTCCCCCAGAGGCAGAGGATCTGCACTCCCAGCCAGTCTCTCTGGGAAGAGTTTAGAGTACAGTTCACTCATTCATTCCACAAATGTTTGCTGAACTGCTGCTCAGAGCCGGGCTCTGAGCCTAATCAGCAAAACCGAAGATAAGCAAAAACAGGCCTCAGTCCCGGCCTTCACGGGGCAAGATGACAGTCTCATCAGGAAGAGGGACAGGGCTCACATGGTCACAGACAGGCCAACAAGAGAGCTGCAAGCAGTAAAGCTAGAAAGCACAAAAAAAGGAAAAAGGGAAGGCCCCTCTGAGGAAGGGAGGGTTTGATCTGTGACCCCACGGAGGAGACCTCAGCCAGTGCTCGGGAGGAAGAAACACCCCAGTCTGGGAAGAAGAGGGATTTGGAAGAAAGCCCCCAAAGGCCGGTGGCTAGAGGAGGAAGAGGAGGCAGAGCCAGGCTGCCATAAAGGGCAGGGGTCCTGGAAGTCACAGGGGAGTTGAGCCCCCAACCTGAGTGAAAGGCGTTCAGTAGAAGCGGCCATGATCTGCAGGGGTGAGGGAGGCAGGACCCACGTGGGAGAGCCCGGAGTGGAGGCTATCGCAGAGCCCAGGCAAATGATGGTGGTGTCAACTAAAGAAGAAATCAACCTTTTGACCAGGCCCAGTGGCTCACGCCTGTAATTCCAGCACTTCGGGAGGCCGAAGTGGGTGGATCAACTGGGAGTACAAGACGAGCCTGGACAACATGGTGAAGCCTCATCTCTATTAGAAATACAAAAAAAAAAAAAAAAAGTCAGGCACAGTGGCGGGTGCCTGTAGTCCCAGCACCCGGAGGCTGGAGCATAAGACTCACTCGAACCTGGGAGGCAGAGGTTGCAGTGAGTCAAGGACGCGCCACTGCACTCCAGCCTGAGAGACAGACAGCAAGACCCCGTCTCAAAAAAAAAAAAAAAAAAAAAATCCACCTTTTGGCCAGGCACAGTGGCTCATGCCTATAATCCCAGCACTTTGGGAACCCAAGGCAGGTGGATCAGCTAAGGTCAGGAACCTGGCCAACATGGTGAAACCCTGTCTCTACTTAAAAAAGAAAAAATGCAAAAATTAGCCTGGCATGGTGGCATGCACCTGTAATCCCAGCTACTTGGGAGGCTGAGGTGGGAGAATCCCTTCAACCTGGGAAGTGGTGGTTACAGTGAGCCAAGGTCACGCCACTGCACTCCAGCCTGGGCAACAGAGTGAAACTCCATTTAAAAAAAAAAAAAAAGAAAATCAGCCACTGAAAAAATTAAAGTTACTTTTATTGAGTCTTACTGAGGACTGCACCCTGGGAGAGCGTTTCAGAGCGTCTCTGTCGGACTGCTCCAAAGCAGCATTTCAGCCCACACTTTAGATACAGAGGCAGGTGGTTCTGTATATACTCAGAAGTTATGGTCAGGCACGGTGGCTCACATCTGTAATCCCAGCACTTTTGGAGGCTGAGGCGGGTGGATTGCTTGAGCTCAGGAGTTCAAGACCAGACTGGGCAACATGGCAAAAGCCCTTCTCTACAAAAAAAAAAAAAAAAATTAGCCGAGCATGGTGGCTCTTGCCTGTAGTCCCAGCTACTTGGGAGGCTGAGGTGGAAGGATCACTTGAGCCCAAGAGGTGAGCTGTGATGGTGCCACTGCACTCCAGCCTGGATGATAGAGCGAGACCTGGTCTCATTTAAAAAAAAAAAAAAAGAAGAAAAAAGTTACATCAAATGTCTTCAGAAGCTACACTAGAGCAAATCTCACCAAGGTTTGGGTTCGAGGATGCACCTAGTTATATAGATTATAGAGGCATAATCATCGGTCCTGTCAGGTGCTATCTTACATACAGGAAAAGGCACAGCCAGGATCATTGAACTTACCTTTCCTAACAATGCAGTGATTCAAGCAAGAGGCGTGGGAGCCTGTGTTCTGCCCTGCCTGCCATCTTCAAGGCATCCTTCTGTTGCGCTGCCGCTGGCCACTGAGTCAGGGCTTTGTCAGCTTCTGACAAGCAGAAAGAACAAATGTGGTTTCTTGGGATTGCAACTTGGTCTCACAGTGGCTTAGGCCAGGGAGGGAGCAGTGGACAGAGTCACAAAAGAAATTTTTAGTAGCATTTGCAGGTGGGTGCTGGATTAGATGCAGGGCTAAGGGTAGGGGAGGAAGCCTGGGTAATGGAAGGCTGGGGGGCCAATGGAATACTGGGAACCCTGGAAGGCCAGGTCTTGAAGGCCAGGTCTTGGGGAGAGTTAGGAGGTTGTGAATTTGGACTTGGATGCTTGTTGAAGTTGATGCACCTTGGGGACATTTGTGGGACACATAGATAGGGTCAGGGCTGAAAAAAGTGCTGGTTATGACCCGGGTCAGGGAATCTTGCCTATAATCCCAGCAACCCAGGAGGATGAGACAGGAGGAACTCCTGAGGCCAAAATTTCGAGGCCAGAAGTTTGAGACGAGCATGGGCAACACGGCAAGACCTTGTCTCTAGAAAAGGAAAGAAAGAACGGCTGGTTGTGGAAGCCAGCCATGGCCCAGAGCTCAGCAGTGTAGGAGGAGATGGTGTGGGCCTGGGAGAGGCAGCAGGCTCAGCTGGAGAGGCAGAAGGAAAACCAAGGCAGGAGGGTGTCCTGTAAGCTGGGAGAAGGCAGAGTGCAAGCGAGGTTTACTTTCTGGCTGAGGGGCCTATGGTGAGTCACTTTGGGAAGCTTGGTTTTCTCCTCTGTGAAATGGGCTACACACCCACCCTTGCTCACCTCACCCACCTCACCCCGTCGACGTCGAGTGAGGAGCAGCTGTGAGAAGGAGGAAGCTTTGCATGGACGTGAGGACGGCTCCGGGCACCTCTCCCCCGGGGACACCCCCGAGGAGATGGAACCCCGAGGGCACGGCGTGGCGGCCTGTGCGGGCCGCTCGCGTTAGGACCCAGAGGCTCTGGGGCTGGAGGGCGGGCGCCAGCCCCGTCGGGGGCCCGGAGGGGGACTCGGAGCGGGCCAAGGGGCGGCTCCGGCGGGCGGCGGGCGGACTCGGAGCGGGCGGCGGAGTGACCCGGACAGGTAGGCACGGGCCTGGCGCTCGGGGGCCCCGGGGGTCGGTCAGGGGCGTCGGCGGGTCCCCCGGCGCGGGGACGGGGGTGCCAGGCTCTCCGGGTCCCCGATCCTGGGGCGACCGCGGAGGTCCTGAACCCAGCGCCTTCAGAGCGGACGCCAAGGGGGCACCTGGAAAGTTTGGGGTTGCTCTGCAGAGAAAACGTGAATTGGGAAGGGCGGGGAGCCCGAGTTTGGGGGGAGCCAGAGGTGGGGGCGTCGGGGGATGGGACATCTTTTGTTCTCCCGGGGAGGTTGGAATGTGGCGGGTGGGGTGGGGGGCCCCCGGTGGGAATGGCCAAGACAGAGACGCAGAGAGACAAAGAGAGATCAGAGACGCGAGCGCGCCGCGCGGAACAAGTTTCCGCTGCTGACTGGTCCCAGCTGTGCTGAGCTGCAGCATCTGGGTTCCCCCCGCCGGGACCCCTCCCCCCTAGCTCGGCTCTGGAGCGGGCAGAGCCCTCCGTCTGAGGTCTGAGCCAGCGTCGGGGCCCCCTGTCCCCCTCCTCCCAGTACACAGGGGAGTCGGGGTTGGGGGAGGCCGCAGCTGTGGAAGAGGCCAGAGGTGGGGGTGGGGCAGCCTCCCGGGCAGGTCCTGGCCTCCCACACGCCCCAAAACCCCTTGGTCTAGAAGTGCTTGGAGATGTGGTCCCCTGGGAGGAGCCCATGAACTCCACACTGACTTCCCTCTTTCCTGTCTACCCGCTAGCCCGTGGGCCTCCCTCCCCCAATAAGCCTGGGTTTGGGGGCCAGTCCTAGGGAAGAAGACTCCACGCAGGGGACCAACAGGCATCCCCCAACACCTTGCAGCCCCTCATGCCCCAATTCAGCGCCTTCTGCTGAGCAGCGGGGGCTCCGACCGGCCTGACCGATGGGGAGAGGGACAACGATGGGGAGAGGGACCATGATGGGGAGAGGGACGATGATGGGAAGAGGGGCAACGGTGGGGAGGGGGGCGACGGTGGGGAGAGGGGCGATGAAGGCTCTGGGGTCTTTTCATCCCCCTTCCATGAGGAGGTCAAGGGTTTTCAGAATGGGGTGTGGGGAGTCAGCTATCCCTCACCTCTGGGGCAGCTTGGTCCTGAGCCTGGTCTCCCCACTCCCACTCCACCTCAGTGAGGTGCCCAAGGCATGAGAGGGCCAGGGGGTCAGGGAGGCCTCAGGATTCAGAGGAAGGAGGGAAAGACCCCATGCTTTCTCCCCTTTTCCTCCCCTCCCCCTGGATTCCCAGTGGGGAAAATAGAGCAAAGTTGGGGTTTCCAGCTAGCTTTCTGGAAAGACTTCCTGGGTTGCAGCCGGGAGGGGCCCTCCTGGAGAATGGACCCCACCTTCGCAGCCCTCCCTACAGAAGGCTGACGGACCTGAGGTGGCCCTCCACGGAGCTGGGGCTGGATGTGGGGAACTGGAGGCTTCCCCAAGTCCCACCGAGTGGCCAGGACTGGAGGCTGGGCTCCTGAATGGCAGGATCCTAATGAAAGCCATGACCCGGTGCCCTCTCCTTCCAAATGACACACATACTTGCCTACAATGTCAGGGGGTGCGGAACCCCCAGGCCGGGTGATGTCATGGCCTCTTCAGTGCTGCTGTTCTGGAATCCAGAGGAGCCCCTCAGACTTCACTCTAGTGTTTCCTGCCGCTGCAGATAGCCCAGGTCTGGTGAGCCTGTGGTGAACACAGCCAGGTCTTGCGAGGCCTGGAGGCCTGGCAGGAGAGGAGTCTTCTGGGCGCTGGGAGCCCTGCCCGGCCTGGCCGCTGTGGGGGCCCGGCAGGCCCATGTGGATGTGGTTTTCTGCTGAGCAGGATGCTCAGGGCCCAGGGGCTAATTGGGAGCAGGTGGTGGGCTTGGCAGACGCTGCTGAGTCCAGGCGGTGATGCCGGTTGGCCACGGCTGGGGTCCCAAGGATGGGCCTGGTTCAGCGATTCATGCAGTCAGTGCCTTGGACACCCCGGGAGGCGCTGGGCCAGAGGGCTGAGCATGGGTGTGGGTGAGGACAGAATGGCCCGGGCTGGGAGCACGTTAGGAATGTCCCCTTCGTGAGCAGGGCAGGGTCCACCCTTCCCTGACTGTGTCTAGTACACACATGACACGGGGTGTGCTTGTCAGATCAGCCCTGGAGCTGGGTTGGAGGCCTTGTTCCTTGTGACCTGAACACCTGGGTGGGCCAGCAGGGACTGGGATGTCCCTCCACTCCAGCCCTCCCATGCCTGGCTTCTGGGTGCCACTTTCTCCAGGGTAAAATCAGGGGATCAAAGGTGGGCTCTGCTGTCCTGGGTGCGGCCCTGGGTAGAGCTCCCACTGGTCTTTCCCCAGCTGTCCTCTCTGACACCACTCCGGCCTGCCTCTTCGTTGCCATGAGAGCTGCCTACCTCTTCCTGCTATTCCTGCCTGGTAAGTGGCTCCTGGGGCAGAGGGTAGCTCCCCTTATGTGGGGGTGGGGAGTAGGGTTAGTAGGGGGGATTAGCCGTGAGCCTTTGTCACGACTTATGGCCAGAACTCAGCTCCCCAGCTCCCAGGGCCTCCTGCCTGCTTGGACCACAGACTGGACCGGCCAACACTGGCAGCATCTAGAGGCAGCTCCCGGCCCTTCCCCCAGCCCTCCACAGCAGCAGGCAGGCAGGGCTCTGGAGGGCACGTCCCAGGCACAAGGACTCCATGGCACAAGGCACAATGCCCCTCTGGGAGCCGATGTGCAGGTGGAGGTGCAGGGGCACCCAAGGCAGGGAGTCCGGACGCTTGGGTTCTAGATCCATTCAGGGCCCTTCAGCTCTGTACAGTCTCGACCTTGGAGGGGTCCGTACTGGCCAAATGAGGAGAATCAATGAGGACCACAAAAGTCCTAGCAGGCCCAAGATTCATTCATTCAGCTGTGATGTGTTGAGTCCCTACAACGTGCCAAGTGCTGGGCTAGGCCCTGGGGATTCAGCGATGAACCAGGCAGACACATGGTGGCTCCTCATCATGCGGCCAGTCCAGGGAAGGAAGACAAATAGGAAACAAGCAGATGTGAGAAATGCCAGCATGTGCTGAGTGCTGGACGGAAATCAGCAGGAGGGCAGGTGGGCTGGGGGTGGGGCGGCCTCTCCAAGGCTGAAATTCCAGGGAAGACCTGAAGCAGCTGAGCAGGCCTCATAGGCCCAGGGAGCATCAGGTGCAAAGGCTCTGAGGGAGGCAGGAGCATGTGGAGTCCCAGGAACAGCCAGGAGGCCAGCAACAGGAAGGGGCAGGATGAGGTCAGGGAGGTGACCATGACCAAGGTGGGGAAGCGTCTTTACCATCGAAGAAGAGTCTGGATCCTCTAGGAATCTGCTTGTAGTATCCTAGGTTCTTACAGACCTGCCCTTGTGACCCCCGCCTCACCTCCCCAGAAGCGCGTTAGGCCCCCGTTGCCCTTCCCTGTGGGGTATCCCACATGCTTTGCCTCCCCACAGCAGGCTTGCTGGCTCAGGGCCAGTACGACCTGGACCCGCTGCCACCGTTCCCTGACCACGTCCAGTACACCCACTATAGCGACCAGATCGGTAAGGGCCTTCCACCCCCAGCCCTGCCGGGTCACGGAGGCCTGGCTGCTCAGATGTGCATGGCTCAGCCAGGGACCGCACTGGACAGGCTGATGGGAACTCTGGGGGTTGGTCCCTGGCTCAGTGGGGACCTTGTTTGCCCCTGGGGCTGGGGGAGTAGCCTGACTCCCACCAATTCCACTTGCATCTTTGTTTGCAGACAACCCAGACTACTATGATTATCAAGGTAATGGGCTGGGGGTAGGATAGGACGGGCGGGCAGCTGGGGTGGGGAGAGCCCCTGGGAGGGGTAGAGGGAGCAGACCCCCTTATTCTCCCCTGGCTGCAGAGGTGACTCCTCGGCCCTCCGAGGAACAGTTCCAGTTCCAGTCCCAGCAGCAAGTCCAACAGGAAGTCATCCCAGCCCCAACGCCAGGTAGGCGCCAGACCCTGCTCCCACCCCTGCCCCAGCTCCTGCCTCACCCCTCCCCACTCTGTCCACCCTGGGAGTGGGGGTCTGCCAGGGCTGGGAGAGGTGACTCCCCTTGCTCTGAAGATACCCCTCCCAGTGATGTCTGCCTACCTCTGTCTCGACACCAGAACCAGGAAATGCGGAGGCGGAGCCCACAGAGCCTGGGCCTCTTGGTAAGGGCTTTCTTGACAGCCAGAGAAATGGAGGCATGGCCTGAAGTTGGGGTGGAGTAGGGGGCGGTGCTGGTGGGCTGGAGGTCTTTGTCCCTTGCCCATGTGGGCTGTTGGCAGTAATGTGGGCAGTATGACTGCTGTAGGCTGGCATCCCCAGGCCCCCCTAGGCAGCTCCAGGAGGTCCCACCAGTCCCCAGCGTGCCTGACTGGAGGCTAAATTGGCAGCCTAGGAAGTCCCCTGTCCTCACAGTTACTGGGGGGGGGGGGGGGGGCAGGGAGTGTCCTGGGGACTTCCTGTCAGTCAGACTGGGTGGTGCCCATGTGGAGGCAAGGAAGGGCCAGGGAGCGCAGGCTGGCTGAGCGGTGCCCCTCTGGCTGCCCCAGCTGCGAGCTTGAAAGAACAAGGTGTGTGTGAGAGAATCTGTGTGCTTACCCTCGTGTGGGTTGGTGTGTGTGTTCCTATGTGGGCTTCTGTGAGCGTGGGCACATCTGCCTGGAAGTTGGTATGGGCTTTTGTGAGGATGCATGGGTGGGTGGGAATTTCTGTTGAACTTAGGCTTCTATAGTAAGTGTGGTTGTGAGTTGATACATGAATATTACAGCCCTGGTAAGTCTGACAGTGCTGCACGTGTCTACGTGGGCATGTGTAGGTATGGGTGTCTGCACGGGGCCTGAGGGTACGGGGGGACTAGGCCCTGCGAGCCAGCCTCAGGTGGGTGAGGCTGGGGGCCGCCCCCCAACTCTGGGCTCCTAGTCTGACCCCACCTGTCACCAGACTGCCGTGAGGAACAGTACCCGTGCACCCGCCTCTACTCCATACACAAGCCGTGCAAACAGTGTATCAACGAGGTCTGCTTCTACAGGTGAGCACAGGTGGGCAGCTGTCAGGAGGACTCCGGAGTTTGGGGGGCTAGAGGGCACACAGGACAGCTCTGGCCAGCCAAGGTGGGAGTTGGAGGAAAGATAGTGAGTCCTGAAGTTGAGCTCAGTTCTGTGGTTGAGCCTGGGCCAGGGACCTCCACTCCTGGACTCCAATGCCGGGTTTTGTCTGGGCTATGCCAGTGGGGTTGGGTGGAAGTGGGGCTGAGACCTCCTGTGCCCTGTCCCTGCAGCCTCCGCCGTGTGTACGTCGTTAACAAGGAGATCTGTGTCCGTACAGTGTGTGCCCACGAGGAGCTCCTCCGAGGTAGGAAGGCCTCCTCCCCAAGACCTCCCCTATCCCCACGTCCACTTCATTATCTGGCTACCTAGTCACCCACCTGATGTTTATTCAACACGTATTATCCACCAGGCCCACTTCCAGGACACCCTGAGCTCCCCTCCCTGCTACTTTTCATCCTCAAAACACTCCTATCACCAGAGTTGGGGGAGGGACAGCGGTTCTCATCTCCCAGCTCCACCCTGACCCCCCCTCCTTCCTGCCCCCAATAGCTGACCTGTGTCGGGACAAGTTCTCCAAATGTGGCGTGATGGCCAGCAGCGGCCTGTGCCAATCCGTGGCGGCCTCCTGTGCCAGGAGCTGTGGGGGCTGCTAGGGTGGTGCTGGCATCCGGAGTTCTGGCCCTCCTGGGATCTGGGGCCCTCGGGCCCTGCCTGACCTGGTGCTTTTTCCCCCATCCCCATGTTCCTTTTATTCTGTAAAAAGTTAGTGGACTGCAGCCCTGGGGGTTGCAGGCTGCGGTGCCTCAGGCCACTCCTTCAGCCTGTGGCCACCTCTGGGGCATGATGGGGGCTCCCCACTGCCTAGTCTCTGCCCCTCAGGTTGGGGGGGGCATCCCAGGCCTCTCTGTGGGACCTTGGCCCCTGACGGGCCTTCTCAGCCCCTTTTGAGGACAGACAGTCCCCACTTCACAGTCCCCTGAGGTAGGCTATGTCCCCCCACCCCAGCTGGTCTGCTTGGATTTCCTACAGCCCCCTGGGCATGGACCACCTTTATTTTATACAAAATTAAAAACAAGTTTTTACAAAAGATCGAGTCACTTTTTCGGTGGAGAGCACAGAGGGGACAGCCAAGTGCCCCCAATGCAGACTGTCCTGAGAGGCTCCCCACCCCTTGGAGTGAACGGTCTGCTCAGGTGCCCTGTGCTTCTGCAGTCCCAGCCCCACCTCCTCACCCACCGGCTCCAGTTCTGCCCTGCCCAGAACACTGCGTCATGACAGTGTACGTACGCACGCGTGTTGCAGGAATTGCATGGGAGATGGAAGGCTTCAGGGACACAGCTTTCTCATGATCAGGGCTGCTTGGTGAAGACATGAGTTCCCATCACCAGAGGGACACAGTGAAGATGGGAGGCTGCCCATGGGGTTGGAGGGCATGGGATCAAGGCAGGCGGACTGACATCCAAGGCCTTTGAGAAGTTGGGGAGATGGGTGCCATTAAGAGAACAAAAACGGCGGGGCGCAGGGGCTCACACCTGTAATCCCAGCACTTAGGGAGGCCGAGGTGGGCCGATCACTTGAGGCCAGGAGTTCGAGACCAGCCTGGCCAATGTGGCGAAACCCTGTCTCTAGTAAAAATACAAAAAAAAATCAGCCAGGCGTGGTGGCGTGCACCTGTAAACCCAGCTGCTCAGGAGGCTGAGGCACAAGAATTGCTTCAACCTGGGAGGCAGAGGTTGCAGTGAGCCAAGATCACGCCACTGCACTCCAGCCTGGGAAGAGCAAGACTGTCTCAAAAAAAAAGAAAAAAAGAGGGCAAAAACGAGCAAGCCATTATAACACCTCCCTCTGACCAGCACATGGAGCCTGGGCTCTGCGTGAAGGCTCGCACACTCCTTAACTCTGAACAGGCATATGTGGTGGATGTAATTCATATCCCCCTCTTAGAGACAGGAAAACTGAGCCCAGAGACATGAAGTAACCCACCCAAGGGTCCCACCCACGGGTCCACAGCTGTCAGCGGCAGTGCTGTGGCCGAATCGGGCAGCTGGACTCCAGCAGATGAGGATGAGTGTTAATTTCTCCTTCAGACACTGATTGAGCACCTCCTATGTGAACTTCCCCTGTCGCCCTATGTGGTAGGTTCCCATTTTACAGATGAGCAAATTGAGGTTAAGCAGGCTGGGCATGGTGGCTCATGCCTGTAATCCCAGCACTTTGGGAGGCCAAGGCAGGTGGATCACCTGAGGTCTAGAGTTTGAGACCATCCTGATCAACATGGTGAAACCCTGTCTCTACTAAAAAAAAAATAATAATAATACAAAAATTAGCTGGGCATGGTGGCGGGCACCTGTAATCCCAGCTACTCAGGAGGCTGTGGCAGGAGGATCACTTGAACCCAGGAGGCGGAGGTTGCAGTGAGCTGAGATCGTGCCATTGTACTCCAGCCTGGGACACAGCTTTGCTCAGGATCATCCAGCGGAGCCAGGCATGTTCACACCCAAACCTGCACTTGTTTGCCATGCTGCCTGGAAGGCCTGTCACTGTCCCGAGGGTGGGCTTGGATCTAAGGAGGGGCCAGAGAAAGGGGCAAGAAAGCATAGACTGGAAAGAGTCGAGCTGCCCAGGCTCAGCCCAGTCCCAGGCTTCAACAGCCCCATCTGTTCTGTGCGCTGGGTGACTCAGGACCCCAGAGGCCTCCCCATCTGACATCCTGTGAGGCTGGCAAGTTCCCTTCCCAACACAGGCCTCCCTGCCTCTCCCTGCCACCTCCCCAAGTACCCCTCCCTACAGGGCCCCATCCCTCTTGCCCCAGACCCCACCTGTCTCCCCCCGACCCCGTCTCCTCCAATCGTCTAGAAGAGGGACACATCTGTACAAACTTTTTAGAAAAGGAAGTCTTGTTACAAAAAACAGTTCTGAACAGTTAACATTGTAAAAAGGTATAAAAATACAGGGACTCTGAGCACTCTGAGGAATTTCCTGACACACACTCTCAACTAAGGCAGACAGATCCCTGGGAAGCCAGAGTCAGGGACTGGGCCTCTGACCCCTGCCCTGGGTCTGGCCCCTCTCCTCTTTCCCACGAACCCTTGCTCCAGGGCTGACCAGAGATGAGGGCTCTCCCCAACCCTGGCTACGGCTCAGCCCCTCAAGGAGGAACTTGTATGATCTACAGTGGCTCATCCTGGAAGAGGGAGGCTGGACTGAGGTGGGGCCTGCAGCCGATGCCAGGAAGCCTCGCCAGGCCTAGAGCTGGAGTACCCCTCCTCAGCACTGCCAGCGGAGCGCCTCCTCATCCCACCCCAGCTTGAGGCCCCCAAGGGACTGGGCTCTGGGGGGTGGGCTGTCCAAAAGGAGAGCCCTCCCCTGTCCCGGGCACAGGGCCTTTTTCCAGATGCCAGCAGGGGCTCATTTCTCTGGGGGGCCGGAGGGTGGGGAGAAGGGTGCTGAGCTCCTTCGAAGCTCCTGCTGCAACTGTCCCTTCAGTGTGGACACCTGGGGAAAAAAGGGAAGATAAGGCCAGTCAGGTCCTCAGCCTGGCTTCAGAGAAAGGAAGGCAGCTGGGAACCCAGAGGGACACAGTGCCACAGTTTCAGGAAAGGTCTGACCTGACTGAGAGCCAGGGGCTGTCCTGCCCTTCTCATTTTGTTCCTTACTGCAGAGTCAGGCGTCTTCTGACTGTCGGCACCTTTGAGGGCAACTCTACCCTCATTGTTTATCCCCATCATCACTTGGGTGGGCGTGGCTCTAGCCCAGACCCAAGGGGTGGACATGTGACCCAGCCTCCAGCTGACAAGGCTGGCTCAGGCATGGTCAGGAAGGGGTGTGTGATCTGAGCAGACCAGTGAGGGACAGCCCTGGGACTTCTGCCGCTGCTGTCTTCGGGGATGACAGATTGCTGGGAGAACCTGAGGCTGGAGCTGCTGAGGACACCTGGTCACCCAGGGAGAAGGCTGCCCTGAGCATGGAGCCAGGGGGAGCAGAGCCACGGCAGGAAGGCCTTGGGGCCCAGGAGCATCCCGTGGCCCCTGGTCTGGTCTTGGCTGATACCAGCGCAGAGCCAACCCCACCCTTTTCGGTTATGGGAGCCATCAACTGCCTATACCCACGAGGTCTTGACTGGGTCTCTCCTCTTCCTCCAGCCCCACACATGATCCTGGCCCAGCCTTCCGAGGGGGCCTGCACACCTGCTCCTCCAGCCCACGCACCCTCTGGCGGTGGGCCCGCTCCCGAGCCTCCAGCGTGCGCTCAGTCTGCACCTGGGCACTGCGCAGCCGCTCCACCTCCTGCTGCAGCTCCAGCTGCTGCTGCTGCGCGTCTGCCTCCAGCTGGGCTGGGCTGTGGCTCTGCTCCAGCACCACCACCTGCGCCTGCAGAGAGGGGCTGTGGTCAGGGTTCTGGCCCAGCATGAGTGCGTGTATGCATGTGTGACAGGTTGTCAGGCACCTCCCTGGGACGTGGCCAGTGCAGAGGGGGAAGGCAGGAGAGATCCTTGTGTATCTTCCATCCTGCTGGCCCTGACAGTGAGCCTGCGAGCCCAGGGTGAGTGCACCCAATGACCCCCATTCAGGTAGGTGCGTGCGCACGCACACACATACACTCACACACTCAGACGTCATGCACAAAGGCAAGCATGTAAATCCCTACTTGGACTCATACAGGTGCATGTGTATGTGCAAAGGCCCAACTCCCACATACATGAAAACATCTGTACACACATATTCACAATACCTAGAGACGCCACACCATGCACAAGGTTCATGCTCCATACACAAGAATGATCACATGGGTTCTCACACTGCCGTATGGCCACAACATACATGAACCCACAGGCTCACGTGCAAACAGGCCTTTAGTGTCTTTTCCGTACACCTTATGGAGAACCCCTCCCTCCATAGCCCGGCTGGGTCACTGGAAGGCTCAGGGCTCCTGGAAGAGGGGGTTGTGGGCCCTGGGCTGGCTGGGCCATCAGCAACACTGGAATTGCTGAGCACTCAGACTGGGGATGAAGTTGGGGTCCCGGAGTGGATGGGGTCAGACCTCCAGCTGCTGGATCTGCCTCTGCGCCTCTGCCAGCTCCAGCTCAGCTCCCGTGAGGGTGCGGTCCAGGCGGCCCTTCTCTGCGCTCAGCCGCACTGTGTCCTCATGGCTACGAAGCTTCTCCCGCTCCACCTAGGCAGGAGAGCCAGAGGAGATCAGGGTGCCAGGAGGAGCTTACTGAGGGGGCTCCGGTTCCTGAACCCCAATGGAATAACCTAACCCCTCCAGAGGCAGCAGACCCTGGGGATGTGCAGTGGGATCCACCACAGCTAGGCCCCAGAGGACGTGAGGGGAAAGCCCAGGGAGCAGCCTACCTTGTCCAGCGTCCTCCTGAGGGCTACACGGTCCTTCTCCAGCCGCAGGGCTGAGCGCTCCACCTCCCGCTTCTCGGCTTCCAGCTGAGCCAGGGCGCGCTGCAGGCTGCCCAGGCGCTCCTGCAGCAGCCGCCGCTCATCTTGCAGCTTCTGGACCATGTGCAGAGCTGCAGCCTCACCCTCCTGCCGCTGCCGCAGCACCTGCAACAGAAGCCAGGCAGGCCCTGAATCCCTCTGGGCCTGAGCGTACTTATCTGAAGCCTGGGGATAATGAGGCTGGCGATGGTGAGGCCCACATCAGAGAATTGTCACCTGAAGCCAAACCTTTCTCTCAGAGTCTCAGTTTCTCCATCTGTATAACAGAACTATGCTCTGAATGAACCATGTTTCCTTACTGGAGGTTGCACCAGGGTTTGGGATGAGGTTGAGATGGGTGGGAACGTCCCCACCCTATCCCAGGGCCTCACAGTCTTGGGGACAGAGGGGGCACACCCTGGCCCTCACCTCCCGTAGCTGTTGTAGCTGGCCCTCGGCCTCCATCCGCTGCAGCTCCAGGTCAGCCACCTCGCCTCGCAGCGTCTGCACCTGCTCGCCCAGAGAGCTGCTTTGCTTCCGGGCCTCAGATAACGCCTGCCGGGCAGCATCCAGCCGTTCCTGGGGGACAGGGGCTGATGGTGCCAGGCTGGCCTGGGAGCCCTAAGGAGTCCTCTCTATTCTGTACCTCCAGATAGGT